GCTGCCGGCTCCGAACCCGGCGTTGCGTCTGGGCCTACCTGTGAGTGCGGCGGTGCCGGACCGGGCGCTCCGGCTCAGCCCCTCGGCAGAGAGCAGCTGTCGCGGGCACGGAGCATCCCTCTTTCCCCCCTGCTCTCTGAAAGCTTTTAATTAGCAAATAGATCCAAAACCACCGCCTTGAAAGGAAGGCGGGGGGGCCGACCCCCGCACGGAGCATCCCTCTTTCCCCCCTGCTCTCTGAAAGCTTTTAATTAGCAAATAGATCCAAAACCACCGCCTTGAAAGGAAGGAGGGTGGAACGACCCCGGTTTTGCACTTTGCTTTGAGGAGTGATCCGAGTGTCTGCATTGCCCAGGTGTAGTGCCAGCGCTGGTCTCAGCAGAGAGACCTTGGAGCTAGGTGTCTCTCTCTCTCTCTCTCTCTCTCCCTCTCTCTCTGTCCCTTCTTTCTTCCCCCAGGTACGACCGGTTGCTGCGGATCCGCGCTCTCAGGTGGGAGTATGGCAGCGTCCTGCCAAACGCCATCCAGTTTCACATGTCAGCGGAGGAAGTGAGTCAGCCTTGTCCCCTTTTCCCTCCCTTCCACTTATTCCTCCCCAGAAACCATCAGGTTAGCCGAGTCAAAATAGGATAGACTTTTTTTTCCCACTCTAGATGCACGATGTTTTGTGTGCCTTTCTGCAAGTATCCGTTTGTTTCCTCATTGTCCTTCCAAGGATGCAATCCCAAACGGATGCTGAGTGCAGGCGCAGCTTGGCACCGTTCGGGATCAGAAGGTCGTCACCCGATCGCCCTCGCACCCGGCGCGGCAGGCTCTCCCTGTGCTCGTCTCAAACGCCATTTGTAAACTGAAGTACAGCGCTGCTGATCTTGTTTCCAGCACGTGTCCCAGTCTGATCCCCGGCTGCCCTGTGCCTGGGGCAGTTTATTCCCTTTAGAAGAGCTTGTGCGCTCCTTCGGCTGGCATGAGCACGCCTGGGAACAGTGGTCTGACAGCACAGATACACCAGAGCCGATTCATCATGGACCTCCTCCCTCAGCATTAGCTATGCGGGGGCATGGAGATGTCTCTCTCAGTAAAGGTTCTTCTTTAATCTTAAACTTGAGAGAATCACTTTTGTCCCAAGAGTGGCAAGGGCAGACCCCTGGGTCCTAGGCAGAATCCCTGCTGGTTAGTCCCAGTAGCGCAAATCCCTTTGGTCCTGCTAGTCTGGATTTTTGTAGCAGAATCTTGCATCTGTGGGTGATAACGCGGCAGTTTTGTTTTTAAAGCTTTAAAACCGCCTCTTGAAATAAAGCTCTGTTTGCTGTTAATGTCCACAGGTGGAGTGGTTCAACCGGTACAAAAAATCTCTGGCCACCTACATGAGGTCAGTAGGCGGAGAGGAGGGGCTGGACCTTACGCAGGACATAAAGCCTCCTAAAAGCCTGTACATCGAAGTAAGTGCAGGACTGGCGGCTTCTGTCTGCGTTGGGGGTGGCGGGAGGCACTTGACCGAGCCACTCTCCTTTAGAGATCTCGGCTTCCTCCCGAGCTGGGGAGTTCACTGAGCAAAGCCATTCGATAAACTCTGCCCGCCAGTGTTTTACTCTCTCTTCTTCTGAGAGCTCAAAGTATGTTGAAACATGGCATTTCCAACCTGCAGGGAACCGGTGTGTGTGTGTGTGTGGGGGGGGGTCTGAATTACTGTGAAAACTTTATGCAGCATTTGTCTTGCAAAAACTGAATTTTGTCTCCCGAAAAACTCTTTGGATCAACTAGAAACCTCGTTCCCATCTTGAAGATTGTCAACTAGTTTCCTTTGTTGTTGTTTTAAATGGACTTTCATGGATGAGACTAAGCGTTGTTTTATACAATTGATGCAAGAGAGCACGAGCACCTGAACAACGGATTCGGAGGCAGGAGCTGCAGCGCTGTGTTCTGATGGTCTCTTAGGAAGAGACTTTCTAGGGGAACTAAACCTGCCCCTGAAGACGGTTTCACTGGCGTTCACAGCCTGGCATTTTCTGGCATGCGTGGGGGGGGCCTCTCCTGGCAGCGCTGCTCTTCCAGCAGCCTCCGTGGAGGGCCTGGGCTGGCTGCTGGCAGGCAGGTGCAGGAAGAGAAGGTCAGATAGAGGGAACAGGCCACGGGATCCATCTGGTTTTGCGTTTCAGGTGCCTGTCCCAGACGGAGGCTCTGCCAGGCGGGCAGGAACGGCCCCGTACTTACAGTTTGGGGGCGTGTGCGATACGTCGGCAGCGATGTGCTCCTCAGTCGGAGAGCTGCTGCTGCAGAGAGCTGCCCTTTGCCTTTGCAGGTGCGGTGCTTAAAAGACTACGGCGAATTTGAGATTGATGATGGCACCACCGTCCTGCTGCAGAAATAGCCAGGTACGAAATACAACCGAGCGGGGTCCTAAACCCTTTCCTGCTCCTTCTCTTCCCCTGCGCTCCTGTGACGCTCCCCTGCTCATCCCAGCTTCGCAGCACGTTGCAGTTGCTGCACCCAGCGCCTCGCACGCGCTGCAAGCCGCCTGCGTGCCCCAGGACCGCTGTTTGACCTCGTACTGCTACACACGGCGGTGCAGCACAGAGCAGGCCGCCTGCAGCAACGCATCCAGGCGGCCTGGGTCTCAGGGAAAGTTTGTCTGTGTTCTTGTGCAGCATTTTTTACCCCGCTGGAAATGCGAGCAGTTAATCAGACAAGGAGTCCTGGAGCACGTCCTGTCGTAAGCGTTCAGGACCGGAGGGACAGCCCTTCCCTGGCGGCCTGTCCCCAGCAGGGAGCGGGCGCTGCAGGACTTCAGCCAGGTCAAGGCTCCGGCACAGAGCGCCCTGTAGCTCCTCTTAGTAGCCTCTGATACCTGACACGAAGATCACCTCAGAGCCTGTAAAGTATTTAAGCCACGCTGGCCAGCCCTTCGTGACCGAAGGGTACACGCAGCGAGCCTGGGGCTCCAGCCCGGGCGCGCGGTCTTATCCAGCCCCTGCAACTACAAATGGGTTTTGAGGGTTTTGTTTGAAGCAATGCTTTGTTCACGCTGTGCACGTGGCAATAAGAGACCAGCTGGGCTCTGGAAGCTGGGGGAACGCCACGGTTGTGAAATAAAGAACTGCGTCAGCCTTCAGTTTAAACCCCTGGTTAAGCGTCAGCGTCGTATCCGTTAAACGCTCTCTCCCTCCTGCCTCTCTGGCCCAGCTCGTCTTGACCCTGCAGGGTGATGCTCAAGCTTTGGCTCCCGTCTCAATGGAGACAGTCCCCCACGTGGCAGATAAGACTGCAAGAGCTTCTTCCTGGGGTTAGACGGGAAGCCTTGTCTCCCACCAGAGGCCTGTAAATGTGTTTTTTGAGCTGCCGAGTGAATGACCGCTGCAGCCTTGGGCGCAGGGGCCTGGTTGAGGTCTCTCCCAGCACGCTGGTGCTCGCTCTCTCTCTCTCTCTCTCCCCCCCCCCTC